CGACTCGACGGCACATAACAACAACAACAATGCCTTTATTTTACTAAACAGAATTAAAAGTATTAAAAGCCAAATGCTCATAGAATGTCAATCCATATTTGAAATGGGTTAATTTGGTTTTAAAAAAGAATAATCAGATAGAGATGTTTAGTAGTTGAGACTGTTGCTCTATTAGATTTGCAGGAAATTCCACTCTTCATTTACTCCTTTGACCAACTTACTCAAGAGAAGAGCATGCTTACTTGTTATTAGTCGGTCCTGTTGCCAAGACATCAGACTGTAACTTTGGAAAGAACCCTCGTTCATATTTGCCTTGACCAATTTTCATATCAAGTAGGTGTGGGTGGATTGCTGTGTGATCCATTTTCATCAGTCGCTGCTCAATTGATTGGGCTAAAATTAAATTTATAACAAATTAGAAATATTTCATCAGCGAAACCATAAAAAGTAAAGCTTCCTTTGCTCATGCACCTATCGGGAACTCAAATGTTTTCTAAAATTTGAAAATGAAATTTTTACAAAGGCTCTTCAGAAATTAGTGTAATGTAAATATAAAATGGTTAATTATAAGTAAATATAGATGATTAATTCTCAAATTATTTTCTGCCTTTGTTAACACCAGAGAAGCAGTGGTGTTAAAAATCTGTAATTTAGTATTGAAACAGTTTCTCTTAAGTGGGAAATTCTACATTCTTAAATAAAATACGCTTCTAAGTACAACATCAAAGAAAATAATGGCAAACCAAAATATTTTCAATATGCTCAAAAGCAATAGAAGGGGAAGGAGACAAGCACAGTTGTCTTATTACTTTATTACTTTGTGCAAAGACCCATTAAATATTCATGATTCTCCATCTGTAAAAATAAAAAAGTGTGTGAAATGTATTACCTCACTTTTAGCAACAGCCACATTCTCATTAACAGGAGTCATTTAGGAGTGTTTTATTAGATCATGAGGAGGATTAAAGAGAAAAATAAAATAGACAAGCATTTAGAAAAATGTCCCAGGAATAAGAAGCTGGTCTTTTAAAGAATAAAATAGGTTAAAGTTAAAGTTACATTGCTCAACGTTTCTATTTTAAAACCACTGAAACTCAGGAATGTTAGAGGATGTCTCAAAGGCCCAAGAAACAGTTAACATTTCTCTGATACAAAAATCTTATCTTCTAAGGGGCCAGTGAATTTGTCTTAACGGGGAGAACAACTCAGGAGAGGAGGGTGAGAATGCCGCACAACTGAAAGGAGTTGATCGACGTGGCTGAACCGAAAGGGCAGAAATGCTGAACTGGTGGGTATTTGCTGTGTATTCTCAAGAACAACAAATAAAATAAATACTTTAAAAAAACCTTATTTTGAATGTTTTTATCAACTAAATTTTCAGGAGAAAATAAATAGATGAGAAGACAAGGTCTTCAATCCTTTGCCTAGAGATTACTAAGAGATAGTAAACAGTGGTTATGGTTTTGTGATAAACAGAACACACCGTGGGAATTTCTAATGTTGTAAATTCAGCGGAGTAAAAATGTACTCCTATAAATATTTCAAAGGGGTATTGGTGGTTCACTGGTAGAAATCTTGCCTTCTATGTGGGAGAACTGAGTTCAATTCCCAGCCAATGTGCTCCACGCACAGACATCACCCAACTGTCAGTGGAGGCTTCCTGTTGCTATGATGCTGAACTCTCATGGGTTGCTATGGGTCAGAATTGACTCAACGGCACAAAACAATAACAACACGATACTGAACAACTTCAGAAAATCAACCACTGAAAATCCTATGGATCACAATGGTCTGATTGGTGACTGATTATGGGGATAATAAAGGACTGCACAGCGCTTTATTTGTGTGTGGGGTTGCCATGAGTCAGGGACACGACAGCACTAACAACACCAACATAAATATTTCAGTTTATTTTGTCCCTTTCCAATACCAGTAGATTGGGTAGAGCTGGTTATTCCCTATATTCCCCAAAAACTTTTTTTCCCCCCTCTTGTCTATGACATTATTCCCTCCAGTCAAAAGAACATGCTTATCTTATGTCATAGTATCTCACTCAACCCTAGCTGTGTTTCTCCCAAGTTAGTTACCTGTGTTTGATGTATTTTCCCTAATTTCTTTTCATAATCCCTACGAATTTATCTAAAAACTTACTGAATTTCGTTATATTTTTAATGTGTAACTTTCCTTGAAATACAGTCCATATGTTCACTGCTGGGCAGAAGGGTGTTATGTTTCATGTGAAGTGATACTAGATTTTAAAAATTGCAACAGATGCCCTCTACCTCTCTAAAATCCTATCTATACTCTCTAGGCTTTCTAATATCTTAAAAATATAATTAACAGATGGTTTAGGCAAAATAATGTCTGGATTTATGTCACAGAATTCTTTGAAATTCTTGCTAATTTTATGTTCCATGATACACTACAAAATTCCCTCTCTGCCAATGAGTGCTTCTGTCCTCGCCACCCCCCCCCCCGAAAAAGAGCTTTGTTTTTTGTTGGATTAAAAAAAAATTACAAAGAAATCCATCTAAAATTGAGTCTTCCTCCTTAGGTTGGGAAGCTTTTTTTTTTTTTTT